CAGTTTGTTCGAAAACTGAATGCGACAATGGTTTTCTTTTTTACTTAAATAGTGTTTTAAAATTCACTCTAAAAGTGTTGTTTCTTAATCTTAATTTTACCGAAATCTGCATGAAAAAATCAGAAAAGGACATTTTTTAAATATTTTAATTCGAACCCAATGCTCTTGTGAAAAGTTGGAAATATTGCCTTTTAGTCCGACAAATATCGTATGGTAAATAAACACACAAGTTAAAAAAATTTAAAAATTGAAAAATTAATGTAAAGTTCTATAAATTAATTTTACGAAGTGTTTGTAGTTGAAAACGTATGAAAATAAATAAAAGATAAATAACCGCAACATATGTTCTTTGACTTAATCCTGATAAATAGCCAGTCAATTAAAAACGTGTTTGTTGTATCAGTTTCTCATAATCTTTAAGCTGCCGCTCTTAAAAGCTGCTGAGTGGCAAAAAGCTCAAAACCCTGCAAATTAAATTAAATCGCTTAAATATAAGTGAATACATGCAGTAATGAGATTAAGGCTTTTACATATTTTTTATTTAGTAGAACATTGTTGATTTTTTGCCAATACCGATTGATACAGAAAGTCTAGTAAGCACTTGAGCAACTCATTTATGTAAAATTATATAGTCTGTCTTTGTTCGATTTTAGCTAACGGAATAAGTGCAAATTTACTTCTATGTACATTTGTATTTATACACCACCTACCAACATGATGATTTATTTATGATTCCACAATTATTATGTAGATTTAAAAACGTATATACTTTTGTTTGTCTCTTTATCGAGAAACGGGTAAAAGCCATTGATCAATGTCGAAGTTTTAGTCTCATACTGACATGATGAAGTGAGTTTTAATTTTGTTGCAAAAGGATGCAGCAGAAAGGCATTGCCCATCAAACCGAAAGCTAACTTGGGAAAAAGCGATGAAACTTGATCAGGACCGGTCATCCGGCAACTCTTCTTCGAATTGCGGTTTTTGCTTTAATTGAACATCGACACGTTTTTCTTCCAAAGCTATTCATTTTCTCGAAAAAAGCTGGATTGATTGTTCATCAATTGTGTAGGCATTTTCATTTATAAATGGATTGACTCTATTTTGTGAAGTCTTTGTGTTGTTGCTGGTAAATAGTTAGAATCAATTTTTTTTCGTGGTATAAATCAAAGGAATTCGTTTTTCCATTAAAAAATTTCGATGTGAAAATTCTTTTACTGGTTTCTTTTAGTTCTTGATTTCTACTATCTTTGTAAGTCGATTTATTCCGAAGATTTATGTTCTACGATAATAAACATTAATAAAATCTTGCAGAGATTAAAAAAAATATATCTAAAATATTCTTTAAAAAATTTTCCAAATAGTAACCATCTCAAAAGAATTAAGATAAAGCCTGTCCTGTTGTAGCAATGATTTATAAATGTGTAAAACATTAACGGAACTTGAATGAATCAAATAAACAATACTCGTTCAATTTTGCCAATCATTTGGGCAACTGAACCGTCTTAAGTATCTGATTCAATACTTATTGCAAGTATGCAAGATGTGAAATTCTTTAATGATTTATCACTGCCAAGATTTTTATTTAGCGTTTTATTTTTTTTTCTGTTGTGATTCAGGAATTGCTTCAAAGTTATTTTAATGCCGTTTTTATCGTTCAGCTCTGTTTAGCTTAAGATTCCAAAGACAATTTCGAACCGAGAAAACCTGGTGCTAATGTTATTTATTTATAGTAGGAAACCAAATTATCACTGGTTCACATCTGATATTAGCGGCCAACGTAATGACACCAACTTTGTACGATTTAATTTAATATGATCAGATTCGCACTAGGTAATAACCCTTTATTTGCCACTTGGGAAAAAACTTGTTCGTTCCAGCAGCTGTCTGAAGTAGTAATCGCATTATACTTAAAGCTGGATTTGTAGCAATGTCGCTTAATAAATGTCGGTATTCTCTTCCAAAGCGACAAAACCGTCTTCTAGGACAATAAATTATGTATGTAAGAACTGCGATTTAGATTTAGGTTTTTTGCCATTTTGACCATTTTGGTCAAATCAATTTAGAAAGTCGGAGGCAAAGTGAAATCAAACTTTAAACGTTCTAACTCATAAATAATTTTTGGATAAGACCTGCGGGAGTTTTTTTCCAGCCTGTAAAATTATCAATGCAAAATTCCATGGGTATTTCAATAATTTAATTGAATGTCAACAAGACATCAATAAATTTTCAATAAAGCTTCTAAAAATTGACTAGTTTTTCAGAGGAAATTGAAAATCAGGAAAAATAATGTTGAAATTTGAAACCTCGAGGTGCCGATGATTTTTTATCTCAATGTTCACATACACAATTTTTCTGAAATTTTTTGAACCACAATTCTTAACTTTTAAAGAGTGAAATGGCAAATATTGCAAATATTTAAAGACTAGTGCTAATTTCTCAACTACAGGGAAATGTAGCCAGCCGTAAGGACATTTCGATAGATTTCATTGAAAGCCATGTTTTCAAACTGGCTTTTTCGTTGGAAATCGAAAAAAGAAGGAATTGGAAAAAGAAAAAGAATCGACGATTCCATTAATATCTAGAAAACTGTTGCGAAAAATATGCCGCCATAAAAGACATGACAATTTTTCTGGGAAACCGTGACTTGATTAGGCTTTAAACTAATCGTAAATTCCTCGCTTCAAACCAAAAAAATATATTTTTTGGTAAATACTGTGAATAAATTAAATATCGGATATATCCTTCAATCTTCACAGTTTAAAAAAAGCTTGTTACATGTTTTTCTCGGAAACTATAGATTAGCGAAAGAAATTGAAGCAAAAGTGTGAAAACGTAAATTTTTTGCTTATAAATAACATTGATTTGCAGTTGTATTACTGGTCAAACAGTTGAATGAATTACTGCAAGTTTCGGGAGAATACTTTTCTACAAACATGTAAAAAAATAATTTAGAAAACAAATTTTGATGAACTAATAATGTTTGGTTATAATGTGTTAGAGCTAATTATGAAATTAGTAGTTTTGATATTATTTTTAAAAAAAATTATTTAAACTGAATTCGTTTCTAAAGCTTATGCAGTTTTTTAAAAGGGCAAGTTTGAAACTCGTCAATGGGTTGCATTTTTATTTTGCTCTAATTGTATTTCGATTTTACGAACATTTTTTAATAGGACAAGTCTGTAGAAGTTGTCGATTTTTTCAACAAGATCTGAGAAAATCAATATCAAAATTTAAATAAATAACGACCATAAACTTTATGCTTAAATATAATTTAAAACAATTAATAAAAACTTTATTAGTGCTTATTAATCTTTTTTCAACACTTTTGTCGTTTCAATTTAGAAGAAACTAAAATATTTTGTTGTATTTGATGGAAATTTACCTTCAAAACCCAGATTTTGAAACCAACTGCCTTTTTTAATTATATTTCAATTTTCAAAATCTAAAAACCCGCACTGAAAAAATTTGAGATTAAGTTCACAGAAAAATCAGAAATCAGAAACAGAAATCAACAAACAGACCAGTAATCGATTAAGATTACAATTGATGGTGCAAATAATCGATCAAGTTGAATTCGTTAAAGCCTTACAATTTGAAATCACAAAATGGTAACCTTGGCATTACAAAATCCATGAGAAAGTTTACACAGGTCGTGACAAATGCTCAATAAGAATCCATTCATTCATTCTAGTGGATGTTGCAATCGAAATCCATTTGTAACAGGTAAAAATTGCATTTGTCGCGATCAAACTGAGCATTTATTATTTGAAATTGTTACTAACGAGACTCTAACAGTCTGTTTTAGAGCTGCCTGAGCCAAAGGGTTAATTGACTTCTTAAATGCAAGCAATATTTATGTGATGGTCTCACATGAAAGCCTCAAGACCACATGCCCACAACGCCTACACCAAAGAGCCACCTCATAAATTTACTAATCTGAAAATTTACATGTTGAACGAGCATTTCCATTTGAAGATTTACGTTGTCAAACTTCATATTTTTCAAGCATGAAACATGAAAACTATAGTTTATTCGATGATGAACTGAACTAAAGATGTAGATCAAAACCACATATTTATTACCAAAAAATCAATAAATATGCGCATTTTGTCCCAACTAAAACCAGATGAACTTTATAAAAAAAACTATTGAGACGGAATATGGAGAAGTTGATAGGTTTGGGCCTCTAAATAGACAAAGAGAATTACATTCACGTTAGATCACTCGCAGATGACCACACGTCCACTACGCATAAATCAAACACTTTAAATCATTTTAATTCTTCAGCTGTCTGTTGAACAATATTAAACCTATGCACTTAAGGATTATTGCGAAGAATAAATAACAAGAGTGAGATTAAATAGTTCCTTCTTTCCTTATCTGAAATTGCATCGGGCACTGAACGAAGTGAATGAAGCCGATCTAATCGGAGTTTTGTGCAAAAGTTATCAAATAAAGTAGTGTAAAATATCATTCATTTGCTTGCTTTTTATTTTTTGATAAAAGTGCCAATAAGGTGATTTTGCTCCGGAAATTAAATTTCATTTTTACATTGTTTTACGCAGAAATACAATTAAAATTATTTGTTGGTAAATCAGGAATGGCATATTGGGAAACGGTTTAAGAAATATTTGTTTTTTCGGTGCACAAAAGTATTTGCCCTAAAAAGACATTTTGATTTATTAAAATATAATTTTTATTTCTTGGTGCACTAACAGAAAGGCATTAAATTTTCCAGAATGTTTGTATGTTACTCTTTGCGAAATTCTCACTGAGACAGTCAATTTTTATTTAAATAACACCTGAGTTTCAAATCGTAATATTTAAAATCTTTTATCGGTTTCACTAATTAACTTAAAACTAACTCCAAGAAGTATTTGAGTCTGAACAAAATTTTATTACTTTTATTGTGTATTTTACTCATTGACTTATTTCTGTTTTGCCAAACCTACTAACGACTTATTTTAAAAAAGCCATTTAAATATTAGAATATTACTTACTAAACACTTCGGCAGTTCTAAACTGTTACACCGAAAAATCACTCTTTTTTTAATACCAAAGTTGGATCCAACTTTGTAAGATAAGTAAACCCGCACTAGCACAAAAATTTTAAAAAATTATAAGTATTTTTAATAAAGTATTGAATCAGGTAGATAAGTACTGATTTTTGTGTGAAAAGATCGCAAATACTTTGAGGCAACCACTAAGCGCCCCGTGCCTTTATACGCATCCCCACCCCGAAGAGCTTTTCGCGAAAGAAGATCGTTACAGAAGATGTCCACCTCTGACGAAGAACCAAACAGACCAAGCGGAGGTCGCAAAAAATTTTAATGCGAACACGCCGCCGGCATCGGAATCGTACCAGTATTGTTCGAATTCTTCAGGTACGATTGATTATTGATCATACTTGATAGTCAGCACAGGTCATTATTTTTGTTTTCATAAAGTACAACTACAGTAATGAACATTCTAGATCAGGAATCATGTTTTCGGGAACATTATTATATCATGAGAAGGAAAGTTCAGGTGAATCTTTAGAGGATACTAGAAATGTATTTGGTCATCCCTTAAAGGCATTACTTTACAAAGACACAATTATGGGAACCAAATATATTTTCAACGTGCAATTAAACATTTTCCAAAAAAATATGTTATTTGGGAGATCTTTTTTGCGAGATAACGTGTTGGGGTTTCCAACATCGTCAACTTTTTTAAACCGCCTTAGTGCTAGAAATTAGCCGATTTACGGGTTTCAGCTCAATTGCAAGAAACTTAAAAAGGTTAGTCCAATGTAATTTTTTGGGTGTTGATGGATTGATTGATTTTTTGATGTTGAGGAGGAGAACAATGAAATACAGATATGCTTAAAAGCCTCTCTGATTCCACTACGCCTTTCATTCCATTTTCTAAGTGATCCAAGCTACAATCCCAGTATGTATATCGGCAAGTATACGTATATGTAGAATAATTTGTATTATTCTAAAAACATCAAACGTTTATAAAGTCGCTAGATTTGATAGAGACATAATTTTGCACCACTATATACTTTTACATTCGAGGTTGAAATGGCTATTTTTGAGAACCAACTAGAAGATTCCTTTAACTGTAGATATGGACAAACTAATTTTGAGGTACTGGTAATTAGGAGGTTTTGACTAGGTACTTTTGAGTTGAGTATGAGATGGATAAAGGGTCGGAAAGTCAATAGAAAGAAAGAAGAACAATAAATAATGTAGAAATTTATATTTCAGAAATCTCGGATTATTAAGAATTTATCAAAAAATTTGTTCTACTTGAGAGAAGTTTAGTTTCTCTTCCACATTATTTCGTTTGAGGTTGCACGTTTTCGAAATATAAACGGACTATCAATTATTTGCAATGCAAAAAAGTCGATGTAATCACATAAAAACATTGCATTTTTCTCTGCTTTTCGTAGTAGCATAAGTATTTTCCTCCAATTTTAGTCTTCCTCTGTTGTCTCGAATAAAAGTAAAATGTTCTTCTATAAGGAATAATTTATATTTTAAAACACATTCTTGCGCTTTCCATAAAACAACTTGAAGCTTGAAACGCGCTCTTTATTAAGTTCATCTTAGACCTGTAGACAATTAAGTATTTCCAAAATAATACTGAAAAGTGAGAATGTTGCTTAGAGCGAAAGATCTTTCACTTATTATAAGCTTGAACACGTTGAACTATGCAGAGCATGGAAACGTTGATTGAAAGGGTATATACTCTTTCAATCAACGATGGAAAGCTGAAATTTTGCTATTTTACAAATGTGAATTTAACTGTGTTGGGGATTGTGATTCTTTAGGTTTAAAGAGTAAGTTTTTTATTACTTTTTAGATGTTCTCGGCAGGAAAACTGGATTAAATTAACAGTTAAAAAGTCACATTTTGATTGAGCTCGTTGTTATTATATATTCTGAGAAACGGGAGCAAACCACCAAGAGAAATTGGGTGCTGACATACTTTTCAATCAATAAATACAATAATAAAAACTGAGAATTTTAAGCATTTCAAAACTGTAATTTTTCTATAGCTTCAAATACTCTTCTCTCTCTTCCCTAATACATGTAAATGTCGCCACTGGACACCATAAAATAGTGGAAGCTAAGTTTCATAACTACTAATAATATATAAAGTAATCGAATACCGTTTTCTTATTCATAATAAAATAAAAATCTTATTATAGAAGATATATATAGATAGCTTTTTGATGGATTTTTATTTGAGATATTTGTGCTTTAAAGAAGCGAAAATAAATTCTGAACTTTGAAAGGTTTTTAAGAAGCAGAATACTTCAGGCTTTATTAGCTGCAATCAAAGGGCTTGATTAAACAGCAACCAAGTCCCCAACAAAATACTTGCAAATCAGAAGTCTGAGATGCAAAAAATGTGCATTTTTGGAATAGCGATTCATAGAAAGATACGCAAAATTTCAAAGTGAAACCATCTACTATTATGCTGTAAACTCCAGCACTCGAAGCAGAAGAAACTCTTGTTCATCCAGATATATCCGTTCTCTTAACTTTAAAGTAGCTTGAAGATAAGGCCCAGTCGATACGTCAATAACTCTAAACCAAATAGATAACTAATTCCACACTTAACATTCTCTACGTGCCACCTTGTAACACTCATTAAAAGCCAAGTTTTGTGCCATGTGGTACTTTTGATTATTCCCGACAGCGATTCGTATGCGAAGAACGCCGCAAATGCGAAATAGTTAACAGCGACATACCTAATTTTCAAACAGACTATCAGATCTGTTGGATGTTTCGAATTGTTCCACTGTTTAACCATCTATAAGGCCTTTGTGGGTTGGTATTCCAACCTTCCTGTTAGGAAATAAATTCTGGGCTGAATAAAGGAAAATGTCGAGGTGTTTTATAATAGCGGTTAAGATTGTGTGGTATAAGTTTTATTGTAACCAAAGTTATTCAAATTATTAGAAGTATTCTTATTAACGTATTTATTATCACAATAAATGTATATCAAAATAGTTGGGACTCCGCGCCTATTGCTGGAAGATGAAGTAGAATTTCTTCCTGACATGTCCCAAGCACGAGGGAGCTTGCATTCTTAGATAAGGTACTTATTTCGACACATTAGTAGAGATAACTTTTTTTTCATGGGATTTTTCCTATTTTAGTTAAGGGACTGGCGAAAGAATTAAAAGCTTTTTTAGAGGAGAAGGAATGCATTTTTCTGATCGTGTATCTATTAAAAAGTCAAGTAATTACAAAAGTGTTACAACTAACAAAGTTTTGAAAGAACACATTTTTGCAAAATGCTCTATTTGTTTTAATAAGAACTCAATTTCTTAACGATTGACTACATATGTAAAATATACAAACTAACATTAGGAATTGGAAAAACTTGACCAAGCTAAAAAAAACCCTTCTGAAACAATTAATATGAAATTAAGTCGGTTCCCAAATTCGGCTTAATAAGTAGCTACTTGCAAGGTAAATTTTTTTGCTAAGAAACTAATTATAGTACAGCTTGAATAACAGAACCGAAGAAAAATCAGCATTATGCCCTCAATAAATTAGCGAGAATTCATAGATAGATCTTCGCACATTGCCTGAAGGAATATTTACACTGGATAATAAACATGCGTGTTTCTACCTGCGATTTAATTAATATACGAACTGTTTCATGTACCAATGTATTGGCGTAAAATAAAGTGTCCAAGAATATCGGGTGGTTTGATTAATTGAGTCTAATCTATGGAAATATTTATTTTTACAAAAATGTAAGTAAAAACTGCGGTTTTACTGATTATTATGCGCAAAGTAAATAAAAAGCTTAAAAAGAATCGAGCGGATCAAAAAAATTATAAAGTTCTTGTTAATGAGCTAAAGTGTTGAGGTGCCAAAAAAATGCGAGTTTATTTTAAATGCCGATAGAATGGTTTAATTGTAATACGTAATACGGAAACTGAACACCACGTAGAAAATAGCAAAAAGTACTTTGTTGGAGATTGGAGATAACAAATAAGATAAATTGGAAGGCATTATAATAAAAACTATTTTTTTCTATACAAAGATCTTTTGAAACTGTAAAGTAACACCCAAAAGATACAGAAAATAAAGTAGCTTTAAAAAACTCGAATTATACTCAAATAAATTAAAATGAACAACAGAAATTAAGCCTTTCGTCGTTAAATATAAACTAATTTATTCATAACATGAAAGATTCATTTAATAAGCGTCGATTGCAAATTTTACAGAGTGAAAAGCTCCTGGAAAAATTGGCAGGATTACGATTTCCAAGTTAGTACAATTAAAAAGGAATTTTCCAAAGTTAGGTCAAGCCGAAGAACAATTTGCATAAGAGGTCAGTGAATCGCTAACAAACCGACAAACAGCGCGCTATACTGCAAGGCCAATGAAAACCAGTAGCGGAACACATTACATGATTTTATCGATGAACAGGTTCATTAAAAATGTCCTATTTCTTTTGTTCACTTTAATAATGGTCCATGTGATGATTTACCACACATTCCTGTTGCTTCTGCTAAAGACAGCAAGAAGTTATTCATGATATTACTTAGGTACGATTTTCGGATCGCAGTTTCTCTATTGCTAAAAATAAATATAGGGCACAAAATAAAAGTAGTACCAAATAAAGTGAGTTTATTGAAGGACTGCGAGGTAATCCATAAATTGGGCTAATAAGAAAGAGATGAGCGACTAAAATTTGTGGCTTCCAAAGTAGCCTGATTTAAATGATGAGCAGAAAATGGCGAGCTTGTTTCCAGTTTTATTGGGTGAATTTCCAGTTATGTTAGTAAATTGGGTGAAAATTTACTTGAAAAACTATTTTTTTGTGTTTTTTTAGAACTTATATTTACCAGTGTACTATACTTAATTAAAGATACTCTCTGATGATAATTAGGAAAGTTTTAATAAATAATCAGCCTTTTAGTACTTTTGCAGTATTAGAAATAGAATAGTTGAGTAAAGAATTGAATACAAAATGAAACAAGTAACAAACTTACACATTAAACGGAACAGTACAGGAGACGATTTACAGTAAAAAGAATAATGCTTTCTAACCATCAAAACGTAAAATTTACCGTCCAAAACATGAAATTCTAAAGTGGATCAAACAAAATTAACAGGTACATAAAAACAGAACTCAAGTTCTGTGAATAGAAAAGCCAGTTCAGTTAAGTCTGCATCAATTATTCTTAAAT